TATCATTTATAAGCAATAATTGCAAGTATTTATTAACTGTTCTTTAAGTGCCAGATGCTGAACTACGTACTTTATATTCAGGTTCATTTGGCCTTTAGTATCCAGCAAAGAAGGTAACTATTGTTATCCCTCTATAGATAACGTGGTTAAGTATTAAGAGGTTAAGTAATTTACCCATTGTTGTACCTGGCAGAGCTGGGCCTAAACCTCACACAAAGCAGATGACATAGTCCTTACTGTTAATAACTATGTTCTGTAGCTGTAGAAACCAGACTAAATTTTCTCTAAACTCTCTACTTGGGAACAGAAGCAATGTTTCCTCTCTAAATTATTTACATTCTGGTTTATTCAAAATTAAACTAAATGGATCAATATGTCCAGGATCAAGGAAACAATTTAATATCAAGTACTTGGTATTAATTGTATCAAATTTACCAAATAAAAATATATGTCTTCATAGCAGCTATAATAAATTTCTGCCTTTTAGGGGCATCTGCCTTCGGCTCAGGTCATGATCCCGGGGTCCTGGGATGGAGCCCTTCGTCAGGCTCCTTGCTCAGTGGGAGTCTGCTTCTCCCTCTCCCTCTGCCTGCAGCTGCCCCTGCTTGTGCTCTTTCTCTGTCAAATAAATAAATAAAATTTTAAAAAATAAATAAATTTCTTCCTTTTAATTTATTAGTGGGTGATATAAGTACACCCACATTTACATACATTTTTCCTCATTCTGTTCTCTGTTCTTTTTACTTGTGTCTGATTCTTCTGTTTCTACCAGAGACAATATGGATACATACCTTTACACCATAGAAATAGGAGGATACCAGGCAGGTAATAAAGCTTAGGTTGAAGATTATGGATTAGTCCCCACGAATCAGTTAAAACCACTGATCAATTTTCATTTTAAAGACCATTTTTAAACTAAATAGTTTACTGAGGTATAATTTGCCTATCATACAACTTAACCACTTAAAGTATACAGGTTAGTGGTTTTAATTATATTCACAGATGTGTGCATTTTAGAACATTTTTGTCTCCCCCATATCCTTGAGCTATCATCCCCTTCTCCCCCTGTCTCCCTATCTCAGCTCTAAGCAACTACTACTATATCTTCAATCTCTATAGATTTCCCTACTTTGGACTTTCATATGAAGGCAATAATATAGTATGTGGGAAAGACCATTAATTTGTGCCAAATTCACACTAAGTGATATTAGGAGGTAGGCATGGCACTCAAATAGGTAAGGATATTTTCCCATTTTCTTTCAGATCATATTCTTTTAGGTGCTTCTCCCATACTTGTTCATTAGGCTCTTGACCTTAATTATTGTGTTGTTATTATCTGTTTACAAATATTTTCCTAGCTCTAAATTTGTATATAATGGTGGGGTCTATGTCTCTTTTTCTCCTCCTAGATCCCAGAATATGATTGATTGATTAACTGGAATAATGAAAATATTGAATTAAAAATATTTATCTGGCAAGGTTTCCAATGCTCTAAGAACATTCTGGGTTTGATTCGGTAGAATTTCAGTTATACTGGCAAATTCTTTGTATAGAGTCCTCCTCAAAATGCTTTAGATAGGAATTAATATCCTGGATCCTATAAAGCTGGTTGTAAACTTAATTATGCATTGAATGGTATATACTTTAATAATTTCTGGGATGCAATGTAGAATGTTGCCTCATTTTCCCTAGTTTTGATTTTACACTGGAACAACAGAGCTCAATTAATTCATTTATTCCCTAAACCTGGACCGCAAGCCTGCACCCTGGTTGGCCTAAGGGTAGGTTGAGGAGAAGAGCCAGTAAAGGAAAACCTGTCTTGACCTTATGCCCCTTGTAATCCAGTGGGAAAATAGATATTGATCAAATTGTGATGTAAATAATATAAATCGTAGCCTGGATCCAGTGTTACAGAAGTGAATTGCTTCAAGTAAGGAGACACTGATGAATGGGATCCTTCAGCTGATATTCTGAATTTGAGTTGGGGGTTTACCAGGTTAAGAGTGAAAGAAAAAAGCATCTAGGCAAAGGAGATATTATATAATGATGTCCTTTGGTGCTCAGAGTGATGAAGGATGAAGATGTAAGTAAGGCAGGCTGAGGCCATAAGACAGGGGGCAGCTGATGATTGAGGGTTTTATTCTAAGTGTAATAGGAAGCTTGTCCCCTGTTTTAAACAGGATGAATTGCATTATTTAATTCCTGACTGGAAAACCTTACATTTCCCCATTTAGGTCCAGAGCTAAATCTTATTAACTTTAATAGAACTGGACTGCTCTCACAATTCATCCAATAAATTAAGGTACTGTGATTTTAAGTTCCAATTTTATCTCCTGAGTTTTGTCTAAAAATTTGCTCTCTAATTAATTAATAAAGTAATTTCTGCAATTAATTGAAGAATTCTTTCAGAACTCCTAACATCTGCATAAAAAGAAAACTGTTGACAAAATAGGGGTTAGTTTTAGCCTGTCATTTAAACATAGTTCTAACTCTCTGGAATTGAGGGAGGAATGGGGTTACTGAGCTGGCCCTCAGAAATTACAATTTCAAGTCTTTTCTCTAGATAGATCCCAGGGAGAGGTTTCCCACCACCCTACCGTGGTACCTGGCGTTAAAAATCTGAGCACTAAGAAAATCTTTGGATTCAGTAATGCAAGGAGAGAAAACTGTGAAAAACAAAAACAGCTGAAGAAAAACACTCTGATGACAGCCACACAGACAAGAGGGACATAAACAATGTCACTCTCTGCCCCAAAATATCTGAACCATAAAATATCTGGATGAGTTTGTTTCTTCTTTTTATACCACCTAAACCTTCATTGGCGGATGATTCATCTCTGTTAACTAGTTTTTTCTTCTAAGAAATGGAGACGTATTCTTAAAATCCTTTCCAATTTCCAAGTATCTCTAGAAACTAACTGTAATCATGGGCATTTAATTTCATTGTATATTCTTAGCTTCTACTTAAAATCATTCTGTAATATGTTTATAAGAATAGGTCTATCTTAGGCTTGGAAAAGCTTTTGACTTTATTTATTCATTCATTCATTCATCAACAAACATTTCAAAGATACAAAAGAAAGACATTATTCCATGCACTGGGTTTACATCAACGTATGAAACAAACTACCAAAAAAATTCAGTGCCCTCTTGGAACTTACGTTCTAGTTATGGATGGGGGAAGAAGAATGAAAATGAATAATAAATATAAGAAATAAAGATAATTGTAGGTTGGAAGCTGGTAAGTATAATGGGAAAGAAAGAATAGAACAGAAAAAGGGGATTGGAAACTGGAACACTAACTAGTAAATATTAAGGGTCTTAGAGTGGATTAGTGCTAAGCTTATTTACCACCCTTAATGCCATGTAATTTTATTCATAAATCTTGGTTGATAGATTAATTAGGATAATAGCTTCCTTGTATTCAGTGTCTATTGTGTGCTAAATAAGCACTCATTTCAACTATACTATCAGTCACAAATCATATCTTTTGATCAAATGAGAAGTCATCTTCAACAGAATTTGTGCTTGTTATGGGCATATTGACCAAAAGACAAAACAGAATTAGGAGCCATGTCGCTTAGGCCAGAGACTTCACAGAGCTAGTGAGGGTGGGTGGGTGAATATTTGGTTGGTAGGAAGTACTGAGTAAAGTGAGTTAGCAGTGGGTTTGAATTTCAGTCTGAGGAAGACAGTTTTCAATATTTTATTTATCATGCCTCTTCTTTAATATTCTAGTAGTAAAAAGGACTACTTGCCAAGAAAATGTTGACTACCACTACTTTTCTCAAAAACTATTGCCCATCTTATATTTAAATATATTGGCAATTCAGTGTTAAAAATTGACATTCATGGAAAAAATATAGTTCTAAAATAACTTTTATTCTTAAATAAAAAAGGTTTAGGAAGTTTATGTGTTCTGAAGATAGAGAAACCCAGTGGAATTTTAGGTTGTCTTTTCAACTATCCTATGTTAAAAGTGCTATACTTCTTTTATAATTGACATTTTATTCTTTTTTATTATTAGTTTTTTAATAATTTTTTTTATGATTTTATTTCTTTATTTGAGAGAGAGAGCAAGAGAGGGGGAGAGAGCAAGAGCATGAGGGGGGTGGCTGAGGCAGAGGGACAAGCAGACTCCCTGCTGAGCAGGGAGACCCACATGGGACTCCATCCCAGGATCCCCGGATCATGACCTGAGCTGACAGCAGACACTTAACCAACTAACTGAGCCACCCAGGCGCCCCATTTTATTCTTTAATGCATTTATTTGATTTTTCAACTGTTGGTTTCAAACTTCTCAACACTGTATTATCAAAACAGAATTTTCATGCACTTATTTCAGGCTTTATTTTGTTTCCTTCCATATTAGTCTCACTTATTTTTTTATTATTTCATATCTCATTTGGTCAATTATTTGAAGAATTACTACAGTGTTCTTGTCAGTTTATTTTGTCCTGTTAATTGTTTCATATGTGCTTTCACACAAGGAGGAATCTAATATTAATTAAAGAAATGCAGATGATCCCTTTCCCATCATGCATATGCACACTCTGATTTTTTGTATCATTTTGTGCAGGTAAAGATCTCTCTAGTCACTTAGCATCCCAAGGGGTCTGTGCTTGGTCACCAGCATAGAACAACTTAGTTAGTTAATGGAAATACATAATTATCTGGTATTTGAACATTAAATAAGAATTTCTACAATGGGCAGCATGTTACACATTGAAGAGAATGCCTATTTAAGGCATTTCCAATCTTTATTTGAAAAACAAAAGCTTTCGAAGTCAACTGTTATTAATTACTAGATGTCATGGTATATTCTAAATAGGTGGATAAGTTTTTTGGGAGCTGTGTGCAGAGTAGAGAAATTCCACAAGTTTATTCATATGGTATCTGGTGTCCATTAACATATTATTCATAGCATGTATAGTTTCCTAATTAAAGGCTGCATATTTTCTTGCAATTAAAAAGCACAATATGTGATTTTCTCTTTGCAGGGGGGAGCAGAACATAATATTCCAGTTGTCATTTCAAAAATCTCCAAGGAGCAAAGAGGTAAAGTGTTTAGAGAATTACATAGTAACTATTCCTTTGTAAGCCATCCTTACTGAAGAATAGGTCGTATTAAGGAACCATAAATTTGTATGTGATTGACTAGCTCCAAGTTCCCCATGACCAGAGAGTTAAGTGGCCAAGTCTGATTCCTGACTCTATCACTTTATTACTCCAGGGGAGGGTTTCGCTCATAGGAAAGCAAGGATGAAAGATAAGAGAGCATGTGACTGTGTATAAATTAGGGACTACACAGCTTTTAAATTGTTTCATTAAACAAACACACAGACAAATTTAATGATAATAAGTCCCATCAAATAAGGCAATTCCTGATACACATATTTTTTCAGTTCTCATATGCAGTTTAACAGCCTGTCATGAAATTTCATCTAGAGAACACCAAAGATGTAAAGCAACTGTTTCAATGACTGAAATCAGTAAGATAATCTAATGTTCAAAAAGAAACTCAGAGTTGATCCCATAGTTGATGGATTGAATGTCTAGATAAAATTTTTTTCATAGATACCTTAATATTATAAGTACATGAGAAAATTTAGTCATCCATCCAGAAGAGTGACCGGTTTTGGGCAACTGTAAGGTCTGAAATTATAGGATTAAATGGAAATAGGTGTTCCAATGTTTGGGCAGAACCATACAGTTGTTTCTGCATTCCTATTATTTGTGGATCTTTTAAGATGTTATCTGTATAAAACATTTAATGTTTTCCTTGTATCAATTTTGATTTTACTTAATTATAAAACTCTTTCATCTGTATGAAGAAAATAGTTGATGCATAATAATTGCCCTTCTTCCTTCACAGCGGAACTTTCAGGACTGCTTTTTATCGGAGATGCTATTCTACAGGTACACATTTTACCCTTATTTTCTACTTGCAATCAAAACATAAATTCAGTTCACAGCACGCCAAGAGAAACCATAATTTTCTTTTCATTGCAGATAAATGGAATTAATGTGAGAAAATGCAGACATGAAGAAGTGGTGAGTTTTCTTTACTTTTTCTTAATATCATAATTTTCCCCATGTGCAAATAAGGATCTACTGCATTGCTAAACACAGTTCAATTTATTCATTAGGTAGATGTGACATTGGTCCAGTGTGCTAATCAGATTTTCAGATGATCTCTTAATTGGTGTGTGTGTGTGTGTGTTTCATATTAGACACAGGTCTGTGAGTACTACCCAGGATGAAATGTAATTCAAAGAAATACTTTGAGCATTGCTTGTTATGCGTTTTTTCAGTTTTTCTATTAATCTCAGCCAATCAGTGTCCATGAGGTATATCTCTAGGTGAACTACATCTCTAACTCTTTGCAAATGTTTAAAATCTTATAAGCAATAGAATTTGTCTGTAAAATCTTACACAGTAGCAGAGTCAATTGGAAGAGCATATAAAGACTGTGTGTGTGTGTGTGTGTGTGTGAAAGAGAGAGAGAGACAGAGACAGAGACAGAGAGACATTAACAGGAGAGACAGAGAAAGAGAAAGAGACAAAATTTAGAGAAGTTTAATCTCAAGGCATACTGAATTAGCACTAGGCAGAATGGCCATCAATTTTTGTGTGTGTGTTGTTGTGTCCTGTGGTTTTTATTTATTTATTTATTTTTGGATGTTGGTCAATATGCAGATCTGAAGCCCCAGCCTCAGATATTCTAATTCAGTCAGTGTAGGTGGGCCCAGGAATTCGGATTTTAACAATCAGCCCAAGTGGTTCTATTGTAGGTGGCCTGTAAACAACACTTTGGGAGAAGCTGGAAGGTTGAAGGGCTTCTGTTGGGGACAGACATAAAACATGATACAAAAAGAATAAGACGGTGTTAGGCATTTGGGAAACATTCATCATGGTTGATTAAATAAGATTCATAGAGCCTTCCCTGAATTTCTGTAGCAGCTCACATGGGAAGGGATAGAGGAGAAATTATGTTCAAAAGTTTATGTTCAAGGGTTGTGTTTGAATGCATTGCTCCTCTGTTAAAAGCTATTTAGAGAAAACTATTCTGATGGGTTTGTGTATTTCAAACCTCAAGGATGCACCTCAAGTGTTTTTGAGAAATCACAGTTCCACAAGCAGTGATGCACGGGAGGGTTCTCAATTGTGCATGCTTGGAATAACTCACCCAGTTTGTATTCATCTCTTATCTTGGTCTCCAAAATCTTACTGGGGCCACTGTATCGCGGTGGTGAACATCCTGTAAAATATGTGTTTTGAGTCTTGAATTTACTACAAATATGTTCAGAAAAAGCAGTGTTTTTGAACGGGTTTGAGACAAATGAGAGAACAGCACAGAGCACTCTGTTCTGCCGATACAGATGCAAATGTTAAATATAGCCATGTAAGCAAAGATATTTTAACTTCAGTCTCCTCTCAAAGATACGAATTGATTTTAAACTCATTATACAGGGAGCAAAACCAAGTGCCTTCTCTTTTAAAACCACATGCTGTTAGATGGAGTCGTGTTTGCAATTTGCCCTTCTGAGGCAGGCAGCATGCTTACAGGAGCTGTGCTGTAGCTTTGATTAGACAGATTAGTGCGGCATGAAAGATTGGAATGTACTAATAATGCCACTTCCTAATGCTGTTCATTCTTTTTCAAAGAAAAGGAATTTAGGATTGTTTCACAAATTATGTGTGGCTCTTCACAGTACACTTATTTTTTTGAGAGGCTTAACCTTATCAGCTTTGAAATATAGGCACTAATATTCTTAAGTTCCACTCATTTTCTAACAGTGATTGGATGCTTTTGTCCTCATTGCTAATTACCTAAGCAAATAGACTGACTTATACCTCAGTGGGGCTGAGATATTATTTAAATGTTTAAGAATGGACTTAAATAGGCAGAAAAAGGCACAAGTTCAGAGGATGTAGATGGTTTTAAAATAGCATGCTGATGTACCACATTCTGTATTCCAAATCAGTGATTCACATAGAGTTCCAAACTCAGAAACAAATTGAATAGGTGTGACAGTATGTTGTAAGTGCATATAACTTTCCTTTTATTCATCTATATTACTTATTGACATTGCTAGAAATTTTGTATTTGGTCCCTGATTAGCTTCAGTCTTAGGATGCCTTCAACAATATAGCCGTAACTTCTGTGTTGGTGTTACAAGGTTTAATCTATGTAGAAAGGGAATCCCACGGTGTCTGTTGTGGACACCCAATAAGACTGTTAAAGAATTATTTAGCCAAACGCCTAGAATTAGATCACTGAAGCACTTGTGTCTGTTTGTTTCTCATGTTACTAGCGTGGACATAAAATAAGTCAATTCCAGGCTGCACCCACACCATGCAAAGCATGAAGAAGATTGTTGAAGGAAAGAAGCTTTTGAAGTTTCCTCATTAGGAAAGTGTTGCTTGGCATGTGATATGGTGGGAAGGTAGCAGGGTACCCAGTTTAGAGGGCTTTCACACTCACAAACAACTGTCCACCAGTCCTAGCTGGACCACTTATTAACATTGTAATTTCAGGCAAATGAACTTACTTGTTCTGTCCCTCTCTGATGCATCTGTAAAAACAAACTAATAATTATCTTTATAAAGATTGAATGGGAGCAATGTATATGAAACTCCTTGCACAAATCTGGCAATTAAGAAAAATTAGGCATTATTTTATGCCATCAAATAATATTGCTTCACATGTTGGCACTCTTCTCCCTATTTACTCCCAGTGGTTACTTCTGTGTCAGTGTTGGGCAGTCTTGTTGAGATCCATGCTGGCCTCTTAGAGCTTCCCATACAGAGAGAGTCCTAATGCAGGCTGGTCTGCATTCCAAGCTCCTTCCACCACACCCAGTCTGAAATTGAAGTGGGCACCCATGCCTACAGGGACAGAGCTGTTTGAAAATGAGGGTTCCTTGTTCATCATAACAAGTCCCTTTATTTTTGGTATGAATGTGTTTTGTAGTCCATGAGTTATACTCCCAAGATACCAAAAGTCCCTAATGTACCAATTTTTTTTTCCCCCAAGGAAATGCAGATCTATTGTCACTGTTGATGTTATGATTGATTCTATTTTTTTTTTTTTACCTTACCATTGAACCCTGGACACATTAAGTCAATTGCTATCTATCTATCTAATCTATCTATCTATCTATCATCTATCTATCTATCTATCTATCTATCATCTATCTATCTATCATCTATCTATCTATCTATCTATCTATCTATCTATCTATCTATCATCTATCTATCTACCTATCATCTATCAACTATCTATCTATATTTTATTAACAAGTAAACTGATCACATATCAACATCTGAGTACCATCTATACGGAATACACTAAGATGGAGTCCTTTGTGTAACAAGAAAGAATATACAAATAACTTTGTCTCTAACTTTATTGCTATGTGGACATCATTTCTGTAGAGTTTAATAATTAAGAGAGTGTACAAAAAATTATTAGGAAAGGCCATGTTGACTTATGGTCCTCAAAATATAACAGTGGTGATCTATTTATGTTCACTAGAAATAAAAGGAAATAAGATTTAGCTATAGCAGAAAAAAAATGCATCTTAAGTCTACAATCAATATAGTTGGAAATGAGAATCTATTAGTATAATTGAAATTTCCATCTAATAAGACTTTCAAAATAGGATAACTCATCATTAGGCAAAGCAGAATGGATGGATAGAGGATTCCAGAAGTTTCCTTCTAAAATATTTCTGGTTTCATGTTTGAGATTTATGGGTTCTAAAAAAGAGATTCATTTGCTTTTTGTTTTCATGGTTTTACTGATAGAAAGCATTAGATAATTAGAAATGCAAAGAACTATCTAGTTCTGAATTTTTATTTTTAAACCAAACTCTAAAAAACTGTAATTCTTAACAAGAGCAGAATGAGTATCTCAAATTATGTAAGTTAAAATGATATATGCATGCAATAAAAACAAATTTTGAGAAAACTAATATAAAGTGTTGCTTAATAGCATTTTAATTATTATGATATGCTTAACTTAATTCAAAATTTCCATTGGAATAAAAAGAATATGGTTTTTTCTTAACTTAGATTAATCAGAAAATAACTTTAAAAATATTATATCCTATCATTTGAAAATAAAGCATTAATTTATTTATTGGAACAGTTTAGGAGGTCTTATGAGTTACCAAGGAACATATTTAGGATGTGACTTGGGAACACACATCATTTTACATGTTGGCAAAAAAGATTAAAATGTCACAGAGTTACAAATTATGTTTTACCTAACTGCTAATAATTCTTAATTTGTTCTCAGTTTAGAAATAAGTTTTGAGGTCTAACTAATTAATACTTTCCTTAAGAATTCTAACCATAGTGAACTCTTTTTCTTTAAATTAACTATCACCAAGGAAAGCAATAGATGAAATAATCACACTTTTAATATTTCCCATTGATTTTAGAAATGTTTAATGCAAAGACAAAAATATGAAAAATATTTTTTTATTCTATGTCTGATTTTGGAAAGAAATAAAATACCCAGAACTTGCCTTACCTACATACTTAGCTTTTTATTAATACTATTAGGAGTTCCTTCTTTGCTAAGCCTACAGGTCTGTCTCCTCATTAGGTATGAATATAGATAGCACAGGCCACACTTTAATTAAATGCATGCTCTTCACTCTTAGCTACTGATTCTCATCAAATCCTTATTTGCTCTCTAACATAGCTCAAAGATCCAATTTTGCAGCTTTCTTAATAATGAGACAAAACCAAGTCTGATAGACCAATTGCTTAGTGGGGTCTCAGCCAATTTTTATTTAGAGGAATGGACACGGAGAATACATAGCACCAGGCACAACGAGACCATGTCGTACTAGGGGAACAAAGTGACTTGAGGTAGAAATGAACATGTTGATATTCCCTCCTTACCTCCTGCAAAGACTCTTTGCAGTCACTCCCACTCTCCAGGTTAGAATGAGGGTCATTGTGTGTTATATAGATTATCCAAATTTTCACAAAACTGACATTTTATTTTCAAAATGACTAAACTGAAAAGCAAGGAG